AGGCAAATGTTAGGAAGAAACTGATGGTCCGATATTTTTGTCTAGGAGCTGTGCCCAATTGATATGGTTTTGTTGGCTGTCCAACACTTGCGACCCAGCAACTGCTTTCCAAAACTATGCAGCGACACTTAAATATATTTTCAAAGTGATTGCTCGCGTACACGGGCGTAGCTGGCCCCAAGTTTCGGGGGGAGGCAGCGACATTTCGGAGGGGGCAGCAAAAAAAATTTTGCTAACATAGCAGCGCCGCAGGCAGAAAAATGAAGAAAAAGAAAGCGGCAACGCACGTTTTTCTGAAGCGCCTCTTTATTCGGGTGCCATTTGTGTTGTCTTGTTGGCGAAAAACGAAAATTAAAATTGCTATGATTCTCTATACCTATTTAAGCAGCCTGGCATGGTAGCACGTGGGGAAAGATTTTCCAAATATTCCGGAGCAAGGTTGCGCACCTTTTTTTGATATGCCCTTTATACAAAAAAAAAATCGAAAATTCACCACATTGCTTGACGTGAGCAGCACGACGTCCGTAAAGGGTTCAGAAGGGCGTAGCGGCTGCAGGATATAATTCGCTTAAATGGGCGTGCAATATTGCAACATTAAACGCCTGCGATAAGCAACCTTATTGGGAACCCGTCTATTTTGCGCCGCAAGACATCTTCTGGAATGCGCAAGACTACTTCAAAGATGGAGAAGCTGAGGCGGGTACTTACCGATCCGAATAGAACTCATTGCGCTGAAAAATGCATCGAAGAATCGAGAAATTCTGGTGTCGTGAGCTATTGTTTGCTCAAAGCTAGTTTGACCGAGTTCTCTGAGGACATGAATTTAGTTATTACGCATCGGCCGATGCTGCCTCGGCATGATCTGTTCAGCAAGAAAATCAGGCCGACGCCATCGCTTGTAGTTTAAATTCTAACGCAATCTTATTCCTTTTTGTTGCTCGGAAAAAATGGGCTCATACAGGGTGTGCAAAAAAAAAGGCCACAGTTTGGGTCGAAATAACTCGCGAACGGTAGAGAATCGAAGGTACGTTACCATGCCAGAATGCTTAAATATGCTGGGTATGAAGATTTAACACAACTTGATTTTTTCGATTTTTGGCGACGTATCAATACAAATGACACCCGAAAACTGTGCGTTCGGGGAAACTTCGTTTGTATTTTTCACAGTTTCCTGTGGTGGCTGGCATCTAATTTTTATTAAGTAAGTTAATATAAGCAGCAGATATGTACCTACAAAATTTAAGAATTTTTGAGGGTCTGGTTGAAAAGTTAGAGGGGAATGAAATTTTGTATGGAGGAGTTTCGTAAATTTTTAATATTGGGAAAACCTATGGCGTTTACCTAAAATCAGTTGTTGTGGAATATCTACGAGCCCGTTACAATCGCATAAAAATTTTAAAAAAGTTTTTGAGATCCATGAATTTTCGCGTTTTTCAACGACCCCCTGGTCATGGATTTTTCGAGGCCCCGAAATCGAACTTTGGAAAAATATTTCTAAATTGCCAAAGGGGACTCAGTTGTTTTCTTTGCTTAGCTATGTAGTTCTGGGGTTGATCTATTACCTACAAAATTTCGAGACACCGTACCCCTTTGGAAGGGCGTCTTTTAGGGCCTCCAAAACGGTTCGTTCGTGCTTTTTTCCGAACCTTGTCACCATTTTATAAAATTTAGTCGTGCTGTGAAAATTTTCGTTTTATTTTTAGCTGATATAATTTGAATAGCGCATCCTAAAGCCTTATTCATGAATTTTTTTAACCAGCCCTTGGCGCCAAGAAAATTCATCAAAACCCGAAATAAACCGAATTGGAGGTTGCGTAAAAAAATTTTGGAAGGTGGAGTCGTAGGGATATTTTGAGCAATAAGTCAGTGCTATCAGTTGAATAAAACTATGCAATGATTAAAGCAATTCCGCGTCGCAAAAATCTTAAGAAGATTTCTAAACTTCGATTTTGGAACAGGGTGATCTTCGATTTTGAGCTGAAAGTCACCATGATCATGAATCAGATTGCCCCCAAATTTGGCGTGCGTAGATAATAACATCAAATCTTTAATCGTATCCATAAGATGCAGGTGGTTTTATTATTTTTAAAAATTCGAAAATTGGCCCCGGCTACTCGGACCAAAAATCGGCTCTCTGGCCTTGTTTTGCACTTTGCCTCGTAACTTTGTTATTTACCACCCAAAATCAGTAATTTTTAGCAGGTTGTCTTACAATCACCTCTAGAAGGCCCTCGAATAGAAAAATCGACACTTTATGGAATTTTGTGATTGCATGCTAAAACGCGCTCCACGTGGGTTACTGTAGAAAACCGAAATTTGCGATTTTCGTGGCGTTTTTGCCATGGAATCGCTTCGATCTTTTCGTAAAACCAATAGTAGCAGTTTTTGGACCAATTGACCAAAAAATTTACAAGATTCTGTGGCAGAATTAAAAAATCAGTTTTTAGTCTTTTTCATGAAAGTTTGTGGATAGTACGCTCTCGTATTTGGCAGTAAGGTGCCCCTACTTATTGCCCAACAACCCAGAAAATTTTAGCCGAATCGAAGCCAGGGGCCCCGAGAAAAGCGGGAAAAACGAAACCTACAGTACCCCCGCTGGGGCACGTTTTAGCAAGCAATACAAAAATACCATAGATTGTGGTGAAATTTGGTGTGGAATCCGAGATTAATATTTGGATAGGTCATTGACAAAATATCAGCCATAGGCAGCGTGTTATAAGCGAGCTATAACTCATAGAACAAAAATAACGCAAAATCGCGAAAATTGTTTTGCTTTTAAAAAATGAAATTGACCTCAATAAATTCTAAGATTTTGCCATTACATTTTTACAAATTTATACTATTTTTAGGCCAAAATTCAGGATTTTCCCACCTCCCGTTCAAGAACGCACAATTTTCGGTCGTAACCAGCGTCAATAGTACAGTTTCGTACTCAAAAATCGAAAAAATCAAGTTGTGTTAAATCTTCATGCCCAGCATATTTAAGGATTCTGGCATGGTAACGTACCTTCGATTCGCTACCGTCCCATCGACCCAAACTGTGGCCTTTTTTTTTGCACACCCTGTAAATGTCGAGTCACATCATCAACAACGTTTTGCAAAAATAGACTTTTGCTGGCGCAAGCGATGCCCACCTCTGGACCTCCGGAATTGCATCTGCAATGGCAGCAACTGATTGCCAAATCAAAGAATCTGGAACTAGACGGACTGGACTGGAAAGGAATAGACTTAGGATGCTGACTTCGACTTAGGATACGGACTTAGGCTTACGATACTGACTTCAGATTAGGATACTGACTGAGGCTTAGGATACGGACTTATACTTAGGATACGGACTTATGCTTCGGATACCTTGGGTATCTAAGTATTTAGGATATCTTGGGCCTAAGCATTTACATTCCAGCCAACGTGGCTATTTTAAATACATTGTCATCCGGATTTTGGATTTCGGGTTTCGATTGGAACCACAAAAATCTTTCAATTTCGTGACACCGGACCGATTTTTTTTATCGCAACGCAACATACGCAGGTAATTTTGTGCCGGAACAGAATACCGTGAGGTTTTATCTCCGCTATCTCGCCAGTTACCTTTGCGTCCGGAAATTCATCCGGATAAAGCGCTTCGATATAAGGCGGCGAGGAGCATAGGATTCGGTTCTATCGCATTATCCGGGGAAACAAATTGTTTTTTTATTAATCTAGAAATTCCTAGTAACTTAATAGCAAGTATCTGCATAGTTTTTAGCAAAATAAAATTATATTTTAACTCAAAAAACCACCCAAAAACTTTGGAAAAACTTTTCAAAAGTCGAAGTTTTGGTCAAAAGCGGCCATTTTTGCTCGAAAAATCGACTTTTGTATTTTAGAATACAATTTTGTAAAGTTTTGACGTTGAGGAATAGTAAAAAGCAGTTTAAATTCCGCTGTTTATATTCAAAAAGATCCTCAGAAACCCCGCCCCCCGATAATGCGAAAGAGCCTAGAATTCATACACGCTAGCGATGAGCCCAATTCCACAAAGTATTCGCATTGCTAGGCTCTATTTCTTTTCTTTGTCGACGCTTTTATGCTTTGCTTTTGCCGTAGATGATTTTACACACAGTTTTTTATTTTATAACGTTAGAAAGTTAGAAGGGCGTCCGAAAAAAGATTCGTGAAGGTTAGCATATACAATGGGCGTTGCAAAAATTACTTGAAGAACTGCGCGATAGAGAATTCTTTAGGACACGGAAACGCGAGAAACCACCCATTCCGTCGACGGGACCTAAACGATCGACCGGTCGCTGGTAGGGGTCGATTGCCGCGCTTCATGGCCCTGGAAGAATTTAGGAAGGCAGAACTTGGGTTCTTTAGGCTTTCATAGTTTGGCCGCCGACCCGATCCATGACCTCCTGGCGAGCACAGCTCGTGGAAGCGAGCTGTACTTCGGCGAATCATTTCAGCTTATGGTCGGTCGACATACTTAAAGGGATACCGACGGCATAGTCAATCGGTTACGCGCTGGAAAGAAAATGTCTTTGCGCCTCTCCCCTGGGCGTGCTCTCTCCCCTATTGGCTACTTGCCAATTTGTTGATGGGGGGGGATCGACACATGCCGTCGGCAGCCCTTTAAAGGGGTCAGAAGCTCCAATTTTGCACGAATCGCGGAAAAATTTGCATGCGAAGCGTCTGCGCCTCACACGGCACGCTTTCTAACCGGAAATCCATGCAAATTTTTCCACGTTTCGTGGAAAAGCGGCGCTGCTGAAAGTGCCGTTTAAAGGGATCAAGAAGGCCCAGTAGTAGTGGCTAAAATTAACATAAATCTTCTCTGCTCCCTCCTGCATTGCCCGACTCTCTGCTCATTTTTTTGCTATAGTATTTCCGGTTGGCACGTTGCCAATTATAGATGAACCCTGATCATTCCTTGCGCCTTCCTGATCCCTTTAAAATCTGTGAACCAAAAGCCTAAAGGACGTGCGAGTCCTGCCTTTCTAGCGCCTTCGAAAAAAGCAAGGTTATGGACAACATCGTCTCTGCTCGTATTGCTGAAGCTTCGCCGCAAAGTCTTCGTCTAGCTGAAAAGAGAAGTCAATTACAATCCTACAGGTCAAGAAATCCATGAATCCGAAGACCATACCTGAAAGTCGTTGGCCCAAACCGGGGGCGTGACCTCGAGCGCTGCGTTTCTGGCGTCATCATTAATTTGAAGATTGTTGATTTGAGCGATGTCGGCCTGATGCACGTCGCCTAGTTCAGCGGCCTCGGCAGGCTCCTGCAAAAAGATCATCACCAACCCAGGCTGACGCTCCCGCAGGAAGCTAAAATTTTCATTTTTGGTCCGATTTTGGGTGTCGGAGGTGTTGCTCTTCCACAAACCGCTCACCATGGTGGGGCCGTCGTGGTGATCTTCTTCGCCCTGGGGAACTTTGTGCTGATGCTCATTTTTGTTGTCCGGCTCATCTTCGTCGTAATTGAAGACGAAATTTATAGGCGGAGGCGTCAGAGAAGGCATGGGCTAAAATAGAGCGCACTTAAAGGGATTGTTCAGCCGTGGAGCTTGGGCAGTACCTTGGGTGACTATCGACGCAGCGGGTCTGCTGGCCTGTGTCTCCCCTACGTCAATGTTCACCCAAGTTACTCCCCCCCACGTAGAGCCAGCTCAAAAAGAGGCTTACAATTAGGAAAGAAACAAGTAATTTTCCCACCATTACGAGTTGTTCAACGGCTTCATCGTCGTGAAGTTCAGCAAGTTGGTAGATTCCTTCGGCCGTCATCTTCAGGGTTGCCTAAGAATTGGGTAGCTTCCTTAAACTTCCGACATTATGAAATGCGCTATCAGACGAGCAGAATATGGAGAACAGCAGGAAAGACTCGTGTAAATGTCGGGGGTACAAATTTCCCTTGTGGAGGCTTTCTCGTGTTCTCAAAATTTTTGACGCCCCATTCCCAATAGCTTCGCGTAATCTTAACCTTTACTTACTCCATCTAACAACCCTGGAAACAGGCTGATTGCTTATCATGTAAAGCCAACGCCCCTTTGCTATACGTGCGGATACGTAGTAACATGGTCGCGGCGCGGTCTTCCCCGAATATTGTACGGGCCAGAAAGAATATTGGCCCTTTGGGGGAGGCCAACGAGGGAAACTTTTATTCAGCTCCCCTCCTCGACTTCGTGGCCTTGTAGACTCGATCAACACTGCCCACGCTACAAAAAAGTAGTCCTAAGCAATGGACGCCCACAACAGGTACCCTGCAAGGAATCGGCAAATGAAAAATTTTCCGATATGTCCGCTATTTTGTCGGGATTTTCGCTCCGCCATTCGGTAGAGCATCACAAAACATACGAAGACTTTTAATTACAGCTTAAAATAATGCCAAATAAAAAAGTTATAGCAGAAAAGCGTAGGGAATCTCCGGCTGGGGGAAAGTAAAATTTTACCTTAAAATGTGTAAAACTTTGCCGTTGATGGCGTTCTACAGTCAGGCAGACATCAGGTAGGCTATAGTGTTCCAACAGCCGTCATGACAGAAGCAACATGGAAAGGAGACCGTACACCCTCGGTAGACCTTCAAAAATCCGCTGATATTCGTTGATTTCGATATATATATATATATATATATATATATATATATATATATATATATATATATATATATATATATATATATATATATATATATATATATATATATATATATATATATATATATATATATATAACGCCACTTAAATATATTTTCAAAATGCTCGCGTACAGGGGCGTAGCTGGCCCCAAGTTCGGGGGCAGCGAGATTTCGGAGGGGGCAGAAAATTTTGCCAAAATAGCAGCGCCGCAGGCAGAAAAATGAAGAAAAAGGAAGCGGCAACGCACGTTTTCCTGAAGCGCCTCTTTATTCGGGTGCCATTTGCGTCGTCTTGTCGGCAAAAAAAAAAAGAAAATTAAGATTGCTAAAATTCTCTATACCTATTTGCCAAATAGTATTTGGGCATCCAGGCATGGTAGCAAGTGGTGAAAGTTCGTCGAGATATTTCGGGGCAAAGTTGCGCAGCTTTTTTTTAATACTCCCTGTATACAAAAAAAAAATCGAAAATCCACCACATTGCTTGACGTGAGCGTCACGACGTCCGTAAAGGGTTCAGCAAAGACGTAGCTGCTATAAGATCGTTCCCTTAAATGGGCGCGGAAAATTGCAACATGAAATGTGTCTGCCGTCTGCAATCTTATCGGGGACCCGTCTATTTTGCGCTGCAAAACATCCAGGCCCGTAGGACCGTTCTAATCAGCGCAACCCGAAGTAAATTTATCACGCTATGGTTTGTAGCTCGATGACGTGTCTGCCAGAGGAAGTATCCGATTTTTTTTGATCTTATGTACACCTGTTCGTAATTTCTAGAATAGTTTCGAATTGTCTGTAGTATTCCGTTTCGAAACCGGGGGACCGCCCTGTTCCAACCGGGATCAAATTGTGTAACTGTAGTACTTAAATACCCATGTATCCAGCACAGCCAAACCCATGACAAGCCGGAAGTCGATAATAAAGAGAGAAAAGTAATATATGAGAAGTAAAAAGATGAAAGGAAACTCCACACTGCGAACAGTGGGAGTCTTAACAGGCCGAAGCCTGCGGAACCCCGAAGGGTGTGAACTCGCAAGCGAGCGAACGGCAAAGCCGTGTGAACCAAACCACAAGGGAATGGCGGGTTGCTCTAAGAAGAGCTAAAAGAAGAAAAAATGTAAAGTGGGTGCCTGTTTCGACCCTTATACACTCTTGATAAGGAGTGATTTCAACCTCCTTGATAAGGAGTGATTTCAACCGCCTGAACCCATTTTTGAAACATCTCCTTTGAAGTACCTTAATTTTCAGTTTTCTGCAGCTATTCCCACTCCGCTATTTTTCGTACGTTTTTATTTTCGAATCTGATCCTAGTAGACTTTCGGAAATTACCCATTGATGTGCTTTTCATTAAGCTCACATTCTCAATAACGAACTCGATACTGCCTGCCAAGCCTCTTTGCACTTCCTGAGCTCTATTTGCGAAATTTTTCAGCTCCCGAAGCTCCCTAAGCTTTTAAAAATGACGGGACTTTGATTTTGATCAAGAAAACCTGGTTTTTTCCGTGAGAGTTTTTAGATTTATTGGCTTTCAAGGCGCACCTTGATTGCTTTTCCAGCCTCAAAATATCTAAAAAGGGTTAAAAAAAGACATTAAAACGTATTTTTAAACCACAGGCTTAATTTCAATACAATGATTTTTCTGTTAACATATGACATTACTTGTTTTCAGGAAAAGAAAATTTGGGTTGCGCTGCTAAATTAAATAATACAGGGTGTCCAAAAAATTGTTCCGGACTTTGGGCTCCAATAACTTTTGATAGAAGAGTATTCCACCATGCGTTACCATGCCAGAATGCTTAAAAGTGTCTGGAACTCCGATTTAGATCAACTTGATTATTTCGATTTTTGGCGACGTATCAATACAAATGACACCCGAAAACTGTGCGTTCGGGGAAGTTTAATTTGTATTTTTCTCAGCGGCCTGTGGCGGGCGGTTTCTAATTTTTGCTGTGCAAATTCTTGTAGGCATTAGATAGATACATGCAAAATTTAAGATTTTTCTAAGGTCTGGTTGAAAAGTTATAGCGGACTGAAGTTTAGTATGGAGAAATTTCGTAAATTTTGAGTATTAAAAAAAACCTATGGCGAAAATCCCAAACTAAGTCGTTGTGGATTGCCGACAGACTATACTATCACATAAACATATTAAAGAATTTTTGAGATCGGTGATTTTTCGAGTTTTTCAACGACCGGATTTTTCCGAGGTCACGAAACTGAACTTTGGAAAAATATTCCTAAAGTTCCGAATAGAACGTAGGCGTTTTCTTTGCTTGGTTGTGTAGGACTGTGGTCCATCTATCAGGTAGACAGGTTCTAGCTACCGTACCCCTTTGGAAGGATGCCTTTTAGCGCCTCCAAAACGGTTGGCTCGTGCTATTTCGCAGAACTTTGTCCCAGTCTATAAAATTCAATTGCGCGGCTAGAATTATTATCATAATTTTATTTAATGTTACTTAATGGGCGCGTTCTAAAATTATATTTACAAATTTATTGTGCCATCCGATCTTTCAAAAGAAATTCATGAAGTGTCCAAATATACCCGAATTCGAGGCGACGTAAAAAAATTCTCGAGGCTTTAGTAGCCCCGAGTTTTCTGGCATAAACCAAGCTTGGTAGTCAACTAGAACCCATGCAAATACAAAAGCTTTTCATTGCAAACGAATTTAGAAGAGCACCCCAAAGTCGGCTTTTCAAAAACGCTATTTTCGGGTTTTAAATAAAAATCAACCATTAACTTTAGCCAGTATTCTTCTCTCATACACTGTTCGATGCGTTCTTTAATTGTATCCACGAAACTCCACGATACATACTGATACATCTAAGAAAAAATCCGGTCGCGCTGACATTGAAATTCAAAAAGCAAAAAAGACGCCGGGCGGGGTCGAACCTGGACCGATTTCCTGGTAGGGATTTAGTCAAGATAAGGACCAAATTTTTATTGAGGCTGTATAATAACGCCAAATCGACTATTCATGAGCGAAAATATGCAAAATAAGTCCCAATTTCCCCCCAAAAAAGGTATTTTTAGACTATGTAAAAACCCCCGGGCCGGCCCCCGTCCAGGCCTGCGCCACATCTTACTAGGGAACCTTCTCAGTGACATGAGTCGTGGTCGACGTTTTGTTGCTTTTTTCCTAACTTGAGCAGGACTTTCCGCCTTCCACATTTTCCGAATCCGCTCTCAATCTTTGCCCAATAGCCCGATTTCAGAAGTGCTCGCGTTTTTAAGATCATATTTGAAATTCAGCATCGACAAGGAGATTCTGTTGTCCTTTCATTTCAACTTCCGGTTGCCGGCTCAATGAACAAATATTTTGCTCTCAAGCATACGACGAGGACCACC